AGATCATTACAAATAAATTATTAAATGCTAAAACTGAATAAATTTAAATGAACAAACTTGGCGTTGCATTTGCAGCCATGTGAAAACGGGGTGCTGCTGCAGCCCCCTCAGCACCCCTACTTCCCGCGTCCCTGGTTTAATGAGTCCTTGCTGAATATTACGAGTATTAATATTAATTTCTTATGAAAAATGTACTGACTTCAAATGTTTGAACGGTATGTCTTTATAACAATAATGTAAAATGCATATGTATCTATACACAATGTGTAAAAAAGCCATGTTCAGTTCATGTTCTTTATATTAAAAGGGCTGTACAGCGGTCAGATTGGTCATTTATTTTCATTGAGTAGGTGTGGTTTATTCAGAGATTGCGCAAGAGTATCGGACAGTGTTGCCAATTTGGGGATTTTGTCGCCAAATTTAGCTACTTTCTCATTATTTATACTGTCATCATTTGTAAAGTGTATATATTTACTTTCCTTTACCTTTACCAAATTTACCTGTATTTACTTTGTTTTCATATTTGGCGACTTTTTGTGAAAAATTGAGACTTTTGAGGGTGGTTCTAGAGATTTTCTGAGGGAGGGGTTTGGCAACACTGGTATCGGAAGGGAGATGGCTGAAGTTCAGTCATGACGGAGAGAATCAGAAGGTCCCGCTGTCGCATATGAAAGTCGTGAATTAATCCGAACTAAGATGTCATCCTGCAGCGATTTCACGTTGTGAACTGTAGGGAGAATATTTGTGATCTTGATCGACGGCTGATGGTGCGTTCCTGTTAATAATCTCTCGCCGAAGTTTGCCTGGCGAGGATTTTGAATAACCACACTCAAGAATTATACACACCACACGAACAAGATCCGTTTGCAGTAACAAACATTCATTGGGGTGTCATCTACACCACAGTCTACTAGTATGCAGGCTTCATTTCAGGATGATGGGAATCCTAGCCGGGCAGAACATACTCCTTTGGTGCAACCTGGAGATGAATCCCTCCTTGCAGTTCGTGGTTGCGAACAAGATCTCATTGAGGAACTGACAGACAGTCTAAAGAGAGTAGGCAGGTGGAGTGATAGTCCGCCTAGTTCAGGTATGTCAACTCCTTCATATACCTCACCCCATGATAGCAAGAATGGTTCGCCACATATTCTTGGCTATGATACTAATGTTCCATTACGGACACGTGGTCCGTCTGATCTTAGTCATCGCCATACAGATGATGCTTCCTTGTTGCGGCCCAGTATGCCCGAGGCAGTGGGCCAGTAACATCACTGAGGTTATTCACCACTTTCCTGTTGAGTTAAAGTCTAACAGTGGTGAGATTTGGCTCACCCAAGAAACGGTCAACCCTCAGGAGAATGCCCTTGGATTGATATGGCACTGTAGATTTGACACCTTGGGGTACAAACCATACCAGAGAGAAGATGGTGATGTTACCATGCAAAAGATCTATCGCATTTTAGCCAAGCTTTACGATCCCCTTGGGTATCTCATTCCGTATACCACAAGAGCAAAAATCATTGTCCAGTTGTTATGGGACAAAAGACGGGAATGGGATGACCCCAATTTACCTGTGAATCTGCTAGCCAGCTGGCATCAATGGGAGAGCGAGCTCCCACACTTGTTGCAAATCTGTCTGCCAAGATGCTACAGTTCCAGCCTGCAGTACCCTGTCAAGAGTCGAAGTGTTCATGTGTTTTGTGACGCTTCTGAAAAAGCTTACGGTTCAGTAGCGTACCTGTGTTCTGAAGACGATCAGGGTAATGTACAGGTAGCCTTTGTGGCTGCAAGGTCGAGAGTAGCTCCGAAGAAACAGATCTCCATTGCTCGTTTGGAGCTCTGTGCTGCGTTAACAGGAGCGCAGCTAGGAGACGTCTTGAAGAAAGAACTGACCGTAGACATCCGTCAGGTTGTATACTGGTCTGACTCGACCACAGTTCTTGCTTGGCTGCATTCTGATTCTTGCAGATACAAGGTATTCGTAGGAGTTAGAGTCACTGAAATTCAAGAATTGTCTGATCCTGGATCTTGGCGATATGTTGACTCAGCAACCAATCCTGCCGACGATATCACACGCGGGTTGTCATTGGCTCAGCTAGCGGGAGACACGCGATGGAAACGAGGTCCAGCCTTCTTGATGCAATCTAGTAGCTGTTGGCCTAAGACACCAGAAGGTCAAGTTCCTAAAGAAGTTCCTGAAGAACTTAAGAAATCCACATTTTGCGGATCGTTAAGTGAGACTGAAGATGTTGTACCTGAGGCCCTTCAATTCAGTAGCTATCGCGAATTTCAAGAGGCTACAGCGCGATCCCTTCACGGGGCGGCCGATGGCACAGATTCGCCTACTGCAGATGATTTTGAGAAAGCCGAGTTGTCTATTCTGAGACAATGTCAGAAGAAGGACTTTCCCGAGGAATTTGCTTTGCTCAAGGGAGGAAAAGACATTCCTGCACGCAGCCGACTCATTAAGCTGGCACCAGAGTATGACAGAAAATTGGATTTGATTAGAGTAGGAGGACGACTTCGCAGGTGCGATGACTTGAGTTATGATGTCCTACACCCTATAGTTCTGTCTCCAAACAATCCAGCAGTGAAGCTCTTAATTAAGCATTACGATGCCCAACTACACCATCCAGGAGCTGGACGAGTGTATTCCGAGCTGAGGCGCAAGTTCTGGATTTTGCGGGGAAGAGAAGCGATAAATAAGCATCAGCGTAACTGTCTAGATTGTACAAAGTGGAGAGGCAAGCCGATGATTCCAAGGATGTCAGACCTACCTCCATCGAACCTGCGGTTATTCAAACCCCCCAAATGAAGAAAAAACATCATATAAAATTACTAAAATTTAAACTAAAATTTGGACATCACTTGTAGTAACTGACACTCTAAGGTGATTTAGTACCGTAACAGCAACCAACGCATTCATACAGTCTCTAATACACAATGAGCACTGGGGAAATGACAGGATGCTCTTCCTGTCGTCCTGTTTACATCCACATATCCATAAATAACTTATTACCAGCGGCCGGCCTGCCAAAGTCCTATATTCTATATTTTAATCAAAACCAGCTTTTATTTTGACTAAATGTGAATCTGATCTGATATTGCGGTTGCGTTTCTGTTGGTTGTAACTTCAATATGTCTGTTGGTGGGATATTTCACGTTATGAATGAATGTCTAATCTTCTCTATGACTAATATCAGAACGGTGGAAACCTGCCCAGCTATTGTTAACTCTTCCGTGACTTAGAAGACAAAGGAATTTAGCTCTGAACGTGTTTTAAATGTTGTCTGCTCTTTGTGCTTTGGGGCAGAGCAGATATTATCACTACGCTGTGGTGGTGGTGGTGTCTGGTGTCTTGTACTCTTCTTCTACCTTAATGTTGACAACAGTATACTCCTACATTTAAAATTTCTGTAAGCAGTCATTGGAAGCTACTCTTTTGTGACCATGGTAAACACTATATCGTCTTACAGTAATTAAGTAACTTAAGCTAAAAGAAACATTTTCTATATCACATTAATCTTTGTTCTGAAGACCCCATCAAGAAAAATGCTTATTTTGTGAGCACACCACGATCTTTTACTAGATGTGAGAGAGATTTAAAAAAATAATAATGTGGTAGTTTTAAAAGCATCAGATACATATGAGGGCGTCTTCTTGTGGAAAAGTATGAAAATGGCAGCTCAGACTTTTTTTTTTTTTTTTTTGCAGTGTGTGTTGGGTGTGTGTTTGACTGCATGTTCCTGCAATTACAAATGTGTCCACTAGGTGCTGCTAGATGCACACGTCTAAAAACTCTAAATCTGCCGTGGAGGTTTGGAACTGGTTTCTTCCCTACAGAGATATTTTATAATAAAAGCATTGGAATTAACAAATGATTATTTATTTTTGATAAATAAATGTAACATGTAAAATTATTAGAATATATGAAATTATATTCTATTCTATTATTATAGTTTAAAATATATAAAACATGTGACCTGTTAGCTCTTTCTGTAATAATTATTCGGAAATAGCAAACATGATGAGCTCAATGAAAAGTTTGGAACAAATAAATCAATGTTTCTTTTTGATAGATAAATAAATGTAAAATGATGCCATTCCAATAGGCCTATTTAATGATTATAATAAATAATATTATATTCTTTTTTATTCTATTCTATTCTATAATGGGCCCTTGCTATTATTGCAATTTGTGACCCTGGACCACAAAACCAAGCCCTTCAAATGTGGATTTGCATATATTCTAGCAGACTACAGCTGATATGAGCAGAACAATCATCCTGAAATCTCAGCACATCAGAAAACACCACAACAAATACACATGATGTGACCCGTACAGCTGTGCCCGGCTAGTGTGCCTAACTCAAAGTCATGCTTGCTGAAGGACAGCCTCATTCCACCAGTAGGTTGTTAAAGATAAGGATGTGATGCAAGCTTGGCTCAGGCCAGAGGTTAATCTCTCACTGGCATCCTGGAATAGCAGCAGTGGATGCTCTGTTCTGGCTCTCTGCCTGCGGTCTGGGTAAGTAGCCGCTGTGCCTGACAAGAGTTCACTGCTTCACAAAAGACACAGCAACCATTATATGGTTTTTAGAAGATTTTAGAAGCCAATTATTATCATTCCAACCAATAAGCAACTGAAAAGTAACCGTGATCATTTGTAAAACAAAAGTAGGCCTAACCCGATTCGTTCGTGAATTATCTTTAGAATCTTTAAAGTGAACAAATATTCCCGGAAAAGCTAGGACCACAAATTAATCACTTTAGTGAACAAATTCAAAAGATTCGAGTCACTGAGGAAGCTGGAGCTGAAATTCTTTTTTTATTTATTTTTTTATTTGAATTTAATTTTAAACTAGTAACCTACTTAATCGAAGTTTAAACTTAATATATATCACGTTTATGAACTTAAAGGCTACACTAATCACGTATAGCTAGCTACTGTGGGTTGTTAATTACTGGGAGAGCGCGCGCTAACGCTTGATCAAGAGGAGGAGGAGGAAGAGGAGGAGATGGAGACGCGCAGCTCCTCCCCCGGGCTTTCGGATCGGATGGATTTACTCACTGAATGTCTTCGGTGAATCATAATCCTCCAAACACAACATGAAAACACGTTATATTGACATAATTCATATAAACCGTCGCTGGTCATCGTGTCAGGCAGACTGAATTTGAAACACCGCGCACTGACGGAACTTAGCTTGTACTTTAATTCCAATAATATCATATACCTTGATTAGTTGAGAGTGCTGAATGTCTGTTTAACATCTAAAGAAAGAAAAAGACCAACTACAACACAAGTTTAAGAGGAAAACACTGGAGAAAAAGAACTCAAGTACCTGCGCTGATCACCTTGCCGACGAGAAGGTGAGTCTGGATAAGTAGCCTGTACTTAAGCATGTTTACTATCTATCACATGCGTATGTACTACGTATAGAGTCATTTTCATTTGTTTTTATTGACACATATATATGCAATAAGTAAACGAAGCCACTTTCGTTTATCTAAAACTTATTTTAATCTTGATAGAACTGAGTTCCCTTATGAAAGTATGACTGTACAATATTAGATGGCAGTATGCTATATTTCATGCTTTTGAATTATATATTCATACATATTGCGGTACAAGTGTTTTTGGGAAAAGCTTCATTATGTAAGTCTGTTCTAACAATTACTCTTCACCTTAAGTTATAAATACTCAATGTATATGATCTGATTACAGAAGCAGAGGTGGTAAGTTGTCACAGTTTTTATTCTAAAGTGGGGCATGTTGTCATATTTTATGGGGTTGTCACAATAGAATATACCTATTGTAAATATGTCAGCAAAATATCAGCAATAAAACATTTTTAAAGCATACAAATATTGTAATTTACACATTAATACATTTCTAATTTAATATATGTTTTATTTGTTAATATGTGTTTTAATATTATATACAAAGCAGGGAATTAGAAGAAAATAAAACGGCAAAATTAATAAACCAATTAAAACAAATGAACAAATTAAAGAAAATACATTTCTGATTTTTAAACCCATGTGACATACATATTTATGAAAAATACTTGTCCTTCCCAGCTCTACCTTGACTATACAGTTAACTAGTTATAGTTAACTCTTGTTTGAATGTATGCTAGTGTAGTTTTATTCTGTTAAATTTTTGCCCAGAAGCTATAGAAAACAATGTTAATATTGATATTTAAGGCAGACAAAATTGACTAAAATTATTCTAATTAATAAACGTTTTGAATTAGCCGTTTAACACCTTGATGGTGTTCAAATCAAAAATCAGTGCTGAAAACAGACTTTTTGACTTCATAAATTACTAGTTTTTGTGACATCTAGCCCAGGTCTCCACCGTCAGCATCTGAATCTTCACATATAGGCATTCCTTTTAAGTTAAAGAAAGATGGATTTTGGGCTTTAATTTTGGGTCTCATTCCCCTCATATTCTCAGTGGCTTATGGGTTGCCAGTTGTTTATGGTGCTGCCAGAATCTCACGAGAGCGGAGCATTTCTCTTAAGCTTCAAAAGTGTTGGGCTGAATGTTGCGGGAAGTGGTGCAGACCGTTCCTCAGGAAACGTCTGAGAGAGAAAAGACTAACAGCAGGGCAAAATGGAAAAGTTTTGCAAAAGACGGGAACTACCAGACGGAGGGTGTTGGATGTTGATGGCTTTCATCTTCTCCAGATCAAAGCTCTGCCTGTAGACTTGTTCATAACAAGCCACGTCTCCTGAGAGATTATTGCCCAAATTCACCTTTTATTCTGGTGTCAGCAGTAATGCTGAGGCACAAATACGGTCTACGTATCATATTTCGCTCGTGCTATGACATCTACGTCAGGTACCGTCATTATGAGCTCTCCGCAACAACCAATGTTTAGCATCCAAACTATGAGATTGTTGTTTCTCAGAGCCTGTGAGAAGGTGCCAAAACAAAAGCAGCATATGAAGAGAGATAAACGAGGTTGTCTTTGCTCACATTATCTCAGAAAAATCCACAGAGGCCCCACCAGAGGAGTGGGAACACAAAGGGCTTGTTTCATCCCTGGGAAAGTAAACCTTCCTCCCTGTGGTGGATCCATCAAACCTTTTGGATGATTTCCCACAGAAACTTCCCAAAGTCGTTTTACTCATTCCTCAATATGTCACAGCTGTTCTGCACTGCCTAATCAGAAGCTGTACAATGACTAAATGTCTCTCTATTTTAAGTCTTTTGAATCATGCATGAATCCTTGAATAGAAACAGCGTTCATTTTTTTGTTAATGTCATTCTGGAGTTAATGAGAGTTTCTGGACCCGAAATCTGAGTGAGGAACGTTGAAGAAATTAGCTGTTTGTAATTGGAAAACATACAGTATTGTCGCATCCCAAGTGTTGTTGTCACATTGTTGTCATTTTAGCATCATTTACTCACTTTTATTATGCTTTTTCCAAACATGCATGACTTCTGTGAAAAGCATAGGAGATATTTTGCAGAATGTTCATGTTGCTCTATTAATTTTTTTTTCATGATTTGTAATGTGCAATGATATGCGATGTAGTCATCATTTATCTTTTTTTTTTGCTCCAAAATATTTTAAATTATTTTTATATTAAGAGATTATATTTTATTATACTTAGAAACATTATAAATATTATTATTTTATATTTAAAAATTATTTTCTAAATATTATATATATATATATATATATAT